TTCTCTCCCTCTCTTCATCTCCCCCTCTCCCCCTTCCACCACTTGGCAAATAACTAACCCTTCACCCCTCACTTGTTACATTGCCAGGGAACGAACGGTGAAAGAAATCAGTCCTCACTTGGTGGAGAAAGAGGGAAAGGGAAGGGTTGTCGGTCCCTTGTGCCGCCAAGAAGGAAAGGAGAGCACATTTGAAAGATTGAAAGGAGACAAAATCCGGAAAGGGGGTGTAACTTGAGAAAAAGAAGGTCAGTTTGACTCAACCATTTCCCCGACTGCATGACTACGAGAAGAGGATGGACTGATTGAGCAAAGGAAGGAGAACAAAGAAAGTCCAAAGAAAAAAAAAGGAAAGTTAGGCATGCGAGAAGGGCTATGTGTTGACCCCAATGGGGGATTGTATTGGTCTTTGCTTTCGTGTGGAATTGTGCAGGTAAGTAAGTCTTGGGACGTCTTGAGCGGGACAGGGCCGGGAGAGACCGGGCGGTAAAGGAAAAGGAAAGCGGGGGCAAAGGGGCTACGAACCCCCTTTAGTGTAAAATTGAACCATGAGATTGACCTTTGGGCATGGGACTGGGAGTGTGAATGAATGAAAAGGAATGTGAATTTTGATGACCGAAATGTGAAGTAGCATGTGCATGAGTGTGAAGGCCACGAAAAGACTAAGGGGCCTGCTCTTATAAAGATGGATGAAATGTATGAGACTCGAAGGGTGCGTAGAGGCGAGAGGGAAGACGACATTTCCGCATCCCGATGACGCCGTAGGATTGCAATAATTAGGGAAATGGTGCGTGGCCTAAGGATGACGCTTAGCCTGCACACAAAAGAAGAAGAACTCTCAAAGAACCCTTGGACTGCCTGCGTATTGGAAAGAGCATTTGCTTGAGAACACAACCAAGAAAAAAAAAAAATCAGCATTTGCGGAATGACCAGCGAGACTACCACCCGGCGTGAGGGCTGAGCTACATCCCCAATGTCAAAGCTCTCTCGCGCGATGGCCCACCCCCATCCATCTCAAAGCACTAGGTGGGGGTGACCCTGGGACGAACAGCCCGCGCCCTGCGCATGAGTGTGGGCGGGTCGAGCCAACTGGGACCCGCAGTGGGGTCGACCAAGGCTCGAAAGTCTACTGGGGTTTGGCCCTACAAAATTGGTGGAGGTGACGCGCATAGGGTTAAACTGACCCTTGCGATTCCGCAGAGGGCGCCCGACGCAAAGCCGTGTACATAACTAAAGACAAGGAATTAGACTTGTGCTTGCTCTTTCCCTTGAGAGAATCAGATTTGAGAGTGGCCGGGTGCATGACATGGCCAGGCCCGGAGGTATAACATGCATGTTGTGCACTTTATTAGCCATCTCCTTGGGAAATGACTCTAGCCCTCCTTCCTTCGGTGCTGGTGTTCGCCAATCCGGGGAAGCCTTGGGCGAGTCGCAGGTCGACCCTTCCTGTTCATGTGAAAGAAGGGCTCCGGTTACCTGGCAGGCGGTTGGCGCTTCAGTTTCGGCCGGAGTCCAATGAAAATCCCGCAGCGGAGTGATCCGGCCCAATGGGTGCCCTCCTCTCTTTTTCTTTGAGCCCAGCGGGCTCATGCACTCTACACTCGAAATGCTTGAAGGAACCTACATGAACACAACGGGTCATCAAGAAGGAACAATCCTACCCTATGAAAGGACAAACAAATGAAGATGAGGGAATGAAGGGAGTTGCTAGACTCCAAAGAAAACTAGCTCCCCCTTAAAGACGCTCACGAGAAGGAACCAACCACTGCGTATGGAGGTAAGGGGAGTGACACTCACTGTCCCGAGAAAAAAGTTGTGAGGCATGGGTAGGAAGCGCTGGGTGCACCAAGGGAACGACACTTGTACTATATGTGTCTCACTTGGGACTTATGATTGCATGAAGGGATTTGCGCATCCTACCTTTCGGAAGGAAAGGATGGGTCTGCACCAGCTGGTGCGGGATGATGAAACGTCGTTCTTTTGCAATGCCGTCGGGTCTCATATGCGGGGTCGGACCACCGAGCTGTCGGACGGGAGTTTGTCACACCGGTTGATTAGTAACATTCTCACCCAGCCGGTTCCGAGCATGGCTCGATGACCTTGCCCATGCGGGGTGCGAAACGTCTCCTCAGGCGGGGCTTAGCCTGTTGGCTGGCGGAAGGGGACCACCGCGTGTGGGGCAAGGAGGGAGCCTCGGGGACGATTAGTAGCTTCCCGTAGTACAGTTTGGGATAGGCTGATTCTTGTCGGACCGATGAAAGTGAATGCCCGGACGACTGACTGTTGCTCCTAACGGGGTGCGCAGGGTGATCTCGATACCAACGAGGGTATGCAAGAGTGGTAAAATAGGATGGGGTATTTTGGGCAAATGGAGAGGGGTAACACCCTGTGCCGGAGCCTGGGTACCGCACTCGCGACGGTTGAGCTGCGCTTGAGGTATGGGATAAAACTCTGCCGAAAGTACCAGCGGAGAGACCATATTGGGATAGGTTGGTGAGCAGATGACCGGCCCGTATGTGAGATTGCCTGATTTTTTTCTTCGTATTCCTCCTCTGTAAAGGTTGATTGGGGCTGAACTGTTGTGGGGGCTATAATTCTAGTCTATTCCCACCTCACCACCTAAGTCCGCATGAGTGAGAGATGATTGAAAGGAAGGAGATAGAGGTCAGTCGGAATGGAACCAAGAAAAGGAATGTGGGATAGTGATAGCCGACCAAGGGTACTATGGACGGGTGGTACTTAGGAATGGGGAGGTAGAATGGGAAAACCCGGATGAGGGGCCTGAAATAATTCTCATCCAGGACGTGGGTTGGGGCCGTTCGGTGCTCTCTTATGGAAAACGGGGTCGGGTGCTGGAAACAAGATGGTGCGGTGGTTGTCATCCCCGATCTATATCAGCGGTCCAGAAATGCCAGTAGATGTAAAGGATGGGGTATCGGTCGTCCTCCCGGAAGAAGGAACGTGGACAGATCTAGAGCCAGCCTATCAAACCGTAATGCTGAACGAGGAGGACGCGTTCCTTTGGATAAAAACGGTATGGACTAAGGTCAGTCTTACAAGGTTGTCGCCAAGCTTAATGGATTTGGAGTTTCGAGGGATGGTGGAAGCCCGAGGGTGGGTCTACTTGTCGCAAAAAGGGGAGAACGCTATGGTAATAGACTTGGTACTAAGGACTACGCCAGACGAATTGTTTAGGAAGGCAGAAAGGGAGGTTGTATGGGCCTCATGTCAGCGGGCAGAAATGGAAATGGTATGGACTAAGGTCAGACTGACAAGGTTGTCGCCAAGCTTAATGGGTTTGGAGTTTCGAGGGACGGTGGAAGCCCCAGGGTGGGTCTACTTGTCGCAAAAAGGGGAGAACGCTATGGTCATAGACTTGGTACTAATGACTACGCCAGACGAATTGTTTAGGAAGGCAGAAAGGGAGGTTGTATGGGCCACATGTCAGCGGGCAGAAATGGAAATGGAAAGGGTAGATGTGCGAGTGGAGCTCGGAGATAGGGGGAGCGTGAGGCGGCCCGTCAGTACGATGAGATGTGTGTTGCCTCCCTTTTTGGTGGATGCGGTCTTTGGAACCCGGAGCAGGCTAGTACAAATATGCCAGTCCAGGACAACCCTCGGGCTATACCAATGCACCAGGCAGGACTTCTTCCGACTGTCAGTAGAAATGAGCCCCTTTGAAGGAAATTGGGCAGATGAACTAGCCGAGATGTTGAATTGCCTTAGCATAGACAATGTCTTTGTCCCTAGCCCGATGCATTGGAGGATAGTCTACAGAAATGTGGAAGTAGGGGAGACCTTCCTGGAAGGGGTGAGGGAATTGTTCTACGACGGCGAAGAGGACTTTAGTGACGATGACGTGGGGGATGAAATAGAGGACTGAGATTTCTGAGGTGGGGGACTTATTTAGGGGGGTAAGTGGTCTGGCGCTGTGCAGGGAAGAAAGGATAACTAGAGAACAATTGGTGATGGACTGTACTTTCAAGGGATGGGAACCACGACGACTCAGAGGGGGAGTAGAAATGTCTATACCAGCGAAAAACGAGTGGAGAGGAACCACGTGCGACTAGGTTGGATTTGAAGTTGTCCCGGGACTATCGTACGTCTGGATAGAACGAATCTGAAACCCAATAAGGGAAGAGGAAGGTTGGGACGAGATAGCAGAAGGAAAGGTGTAATCTGTTGGAACGATCATTCTCTCCAGGAGAGGGTGGCACTTACTCTGCACTATGTTAGCAGCAGACCAAGATCCGATGTGGCTTCTGGGTGACGCGGAAGCAAGAACCCGAAAAGAGGGAAAGAGGTTTGCCAACAAAGGATGGGACGAAGTCAGTAGTAGGGTTGTGATGGGAGGATGGAAGGAACTCAAGTCTCCCGGCCTGCGAACGATAGCTTGGGTACCTGAGTTTGTGGCCGATTGGTTTGTGGGTTTCAACCACATTTTAGAGGTGGCCGACTCCATGAGAGGGACGCATATAGAGTGTGACTGGCTGACTGAGGAATTTTATAGGATCTCGTTGAAGTACGGACCCTTCTACGGCGATAAAGCCTGGGAAGTTGTCACCATCCTGAGAATAGGTAAGTATGATCGCCTAGAGGTGAATGCGGCAGCTTGGGACGCCATAGTTAGCCGAGAAGCGGAGGCCACTCCATCCTTCGTGGATGATGTTTTCAAACTGTTTGAAGTATTGTGGTTCGAGTAAAAGGTCGAAAAGTCGGACGGCATGAGAAAATCAGAGTGTGTGGGATGCATGTAAACTAAGGGGTAACGTAAGGTAGGGAGCATGTACATTAGTTTAGCGGGGCATGCGAGGAGATTAAACGGGGGCAGGTGTCCGGCCACCGAGGGCGCAGGTGTGAATTGTTGGGCAGAAAAGGGAGAATGAGGACATGAAGGGGAAGGGAGACGGTAGGAAGATGGGTGTTGAAGACGACCTGTAATCCTCTGTGTTTAGGCCATGCAGGAAACCACCTGCCAACGATGGCAGCAAAACGCATTCGGACGATACACCAGCCCCGGTATCCCGGCCCGCCCTGGAATAACGGCAGGGGGTGGGAAGTGTACCTTCCGACAAGTTTCGAATTCCAGGGAATCGACGTGGAGTGGCGGGCGGTAACCTTGGGGAGGGACAACGCCTTCATGATGGTGGAATGTTTGTGGACAGGGATATGATTTAACCGAGGGCCTGGGGACGACCTGTACTCCAATTTGGAGGTAACTGAAACCTTGTACCTACCTGAAGTCGGTTGGCACTCGCTGGGAGTAGGAATAGCGCAAGATCACAAGTTGGCCCTGGTCTTTCAGGAGGGCCGCCCGGACATTGACACAGATAGGCCAATCGATCAAGGGTAGGAGGAACGTGGGCCTGCAGACCAGGGTGGAAGTAGGAAACTGGCAGGAATTTAACGCACCGACAACCCCGCTAAGATGTCGGGTCCCCCGATTCATGATAGACCTAATCTTTGGAAGCCTCTCAAGGGGGCGCAGGATCTGGCGGACTCGGCAATAGTCTGGATAAACCACTTCCCGCCCCAAACCATCGAGATATTCTATGACGTCGCCGTGAAGAACGGGCCATTCTGGGGAAACCGGGCCCAGGAATTGCTGGAGGTTATCAATATTATGATATTTGGGTTATCACGGTTAGCTTGTGCGGAATACGAGTATATAATCCGGAGGGAGATCGAGGTGGGAGAGAGCTATCTAGCAGGAGTGGCTCAACTATTCGAGGAGCCTACCGAATCGGAAGGGCCACGGGAACGAGAACGAGACTAGTACCGGGGTCAAGCCGATGGGACAAATAAAGTATACTCCATTACGTACAGGGGCTCGCTGATGGGAATAGGGAAGGGATAGATCCACGATAATTGTCATAACCAGAAAAAGTTGAAAGGAACAGTGGCTAGGCACCCTTCCTAACGGAGTGCTCAACTAGAACTCCTACACGCCCGGCACGATAAACTGGGGCGCTCTAAACGAGTCTGTCATAAGGGGAACTAAGTTATGTTCCTTAGCTCGATAGGGCAGCAGGGTCGACCACGGCTTCTTCTTAGAGAAGCAATCAGAGGACGAAAATGGGGAGGGGACTACTCCCCGAATAAAACAGACCAAAGGAACTAGAGCCTATGGAACCTGAACGCCTTAAGTTGCCTGTTTCCCGGGGAATCCACTGGTTTATGCAGATCTAGGCAAAATGGCGACGAAAGATGAGATAGATAATCGTAGGAGCGAGGGAGGACCAGGCTTAATCCCTCCGGTCAGGATCCACACAGTAGAGCATGAATGTTGGAATGACAAAGTACCGTCCTATGAATTCGGGATAGCAGGGGAAGGGACAGACCTTCTCCGAGCGAAAATGGACTCCTTCGTCGCAGAGCCTACCGCGTCGCCATATGCAAATAGGTGGTTCGTCTTTCGGAAACCCAACAAGATGCTGAGGTGGATTCAAGACCTGCAAAAGTTGAATGCGGTAACCATCTGGGATGCCGGGTCGCTACCACAGGCTGACTTACTAGCAGAATCCCACGCCGGCCGGAGCATTTACTCCCTGGTAGACTTGTATTTCGGGTACGATCAGCTCCCGTTGGATGCTCGGGACAGACCATACACCGCGATGCATACTCCCGTAGGACAATTGCAGATGCAGGTGACCCCTATGGGCTTTACGAACGCAGTAGCCAAAGCGCAAAGGAGGATGCTCGTCGTAGCCGGAGACATGTTTCCAGAGAAATGTCAACCCTACATCGACGACAATTCGATCAAAGGCGCCCAAGAGAAGGACGAGACCGAAATCCAGCCAGGAAATCGAAAAATTGTGTGGGATCACCTAAAGGACATCAAGGACTTACTCCATCGATTTCTGGTATACAACATCACGGCTAGTGGGTCAAAGAGTATTATGGCAGTACCAGAAATGACCATACTGGGATTCCACTGTGGCGCATATGGAAGAAAGTCGGACCCAGCAAAGACCGACAAAGTATCACAGTGGCCTACTCCCCTACGCACGACTACGGAGGTAAGAGCGTTTTTAGGCGTGGTCGGCTTCTGGAGGATTTTTATTAAAAACTTTGTCAAGATTGTCGAGCCTATCCACACCATGATCAGAGAAGAAGGAACCATGGATTGGACCGAGGAGCGAGCGGGAGCCGTCCAAACCCTCAAGAACATACTGACATCGGAGCAAGTCACTCTGGCAGCACCGTGTTTTAACGACGAGGTTGAACGGCCGTTTATTCTAGAGACGGACGGAGGGCCTTTGGCCGTAGGGGGTGTCTTGATTCAAAAGGATGAGGGAGGAAAAAAGCGGCCAATTAGGTTCGAGAGTAGAACCCTGAACTCATCAGAACGACGATACTCGCGGTTAAAGAAAGAGGTCCTAGCCATTTTGCATTGCCTCAAGACCTTCCAAGCCTACCTATTCGGGAGGCGGTTCATCCTAAGAATCGATCCAACCAACGTCGCGGCGGCTTTGAAGAATTATAAGCCTATAGTCCCGACAGTTGGGAGATGGGTAGGATTCATCTGGCAATTCGATTACAAGATCGAGCGAATTGTTGGACTCAAAAACAAGGTCACTGGGCTAAGTCGGGTCTGCATCACACCCGAAGGGGTGAAGGATGCAGAGCCCATAGACGCGTTCCTTGAATACGAAGGGGGAACCCTTGCGATGGATAACGAAATAATGGGCGAAGGATGCGCGTCAGGAGAACTGTTGATCCGGACTTTGGAAAAAGGGGCACCTGCCATAGTAGCGGAACTTAGGGAAGGGTCAGTCACCGCTCAAGGACGCAAGGCGGAGAAGGATTCGTGGGGAGCGATAGTAGGACCGAAGGAGGAATTAATAGCAATCGCGGTTGAGGGAGGTCGGGAAGCCGTGATGAGCCTAGTGGAGTCTTGGGAACGAAAAGAGCTGTAGTTGATGGTAAACCAGACGCAGGAGAGAAAGGACGAGGATCAGGAAGGAGAGGAGTTTTTCTATGTTCAGATGTACGAAGGTATTTTTCGGGAGATCGGATTGTTGCTGGTAGGGAACAAACAACCCATGGAAGTCAGTCGTAGAGCTAGGGAGGAGGCCGAGAGGTACGTCCTAAGGGGCGGCCATCTGTTCAGAAGGGAGGAAGACGTTATGCCTAGAAGAGTTGTATGCGTAAGGTCTAGGCAGCTGGACGTGATTCAGGCACTACACGACGGACTAGCAAGGGGACACCGATCGCCCAAAGGGACCCTTGCTAAGATAACGCCTATCTATTATTGGCCAGGCATGGCAGGAATGGTCGCCACATATTGTCAGATTTGTCTGATTTGTCAGGAACGGAGCTCGGCACGCGTCTTCGAGCCACTTAGACCAACACGGGTGCTGGGGCCGGGACATCTGGTCCACCTTGACCTTGCGGTTATGTCTATATCAACGGATGGGTACAGGTATATCCTGGATATGCAAGACAAGTTGAGTGGGTTCGTGGAGGCGGTCGGTCTCAAGAAAAAGACTGGGAGAAGCGTAGCAAATTGGACAGAGGATTTCTACCTGAGGCATCCCTTCATCAAGAGGTTTATAGCAGACAACGGAACAGAGTTTGTGAACCACGAAGTGTTGGGAATGCTTAAAAGGCTCTGCGTACCTATCAAGCTCATCGAACCATATCACCCGGAGGCCAATGCACCTGTGGAAAGGGGGCACCAAACCCTGAAGAACACGGTTGTGAAGCTCGCGGCAGACAATCTGGGGAGTTGGCTTAAATACCTTAACCAGGCTGTCTTCTCGGAGAACATGACACCTAAGAGGACAATGGGGTGTATCCCGACGGAACTTTGGCACGGAAGAGAGATCGATTTTCCCGTGGAGGCCTTGATACCTACCTAGAACAGGTTAGATGACGATCCGCGTATGACCATGGAAGATTTAATTGAGGCACGATGTTAACAAGTCCTTAGAAACGAGGAGGTCATGGAAGACATTGCCAATCGGGTGCTAAACAACAGAATGAGGGACAAAGCAAGCTGGGACCAGGTTAAGAATGTCCGGAGAGAGCCACTGCAGGTGGGAGAGAGTATTGGTAAGAAACTCGGCACTATAAAGCACCTGGTCTGGGAAACTGGGGAGGAGGTGCAAAAACCCCTACCGGATCGCTAAGCGGGCGAGACTGAACACCTTCGAATTGGAAGATTTGGATGGGACTGATTTAAAGGGACCCTTCCCAAGGCAACGGTTGGTCAGGTTTCTAGTCGGGACCCAGTGGAACAATGGCTTCAGGAAGCCCTGGATAAGGAAACTGGGAATCTGCAAGCTAAGAGCTAATGACAGTCGTACCCACCCTCTGTGTTTTTTTTGTCTCTGACTACGTTTGTGGGACTTTTCTTTTTTTCGGGGAGGGGACAATGGCTTGGGCTGATTGAGAATGCGAGGTGGGGTGTCCTAGGACTCTTTTGTACCAATGGGTTTTGTGTGGTAATGGGAAAGGCTGTCGGGAGCATTGTATCATAGTTCTTGAAGGAAAAACGATGGGATCATTACAAATGTGGCGTTTGCATGAGAGGGCAATGTATAATAGTGGTCTGGTGCGAAGGATACTGGGAGAGTTCTGGGGGAAGGGGTATTTCCTATGGAACGGGGGGGAGACGTGTGTATGAGGGGCTTGGCGGGTGTTGTTTTGTTAATACAGGATCAGGGGAGAAGCCTTGGAAGAGCAAAAGAAATGAAATTCGACAACGAGAATGATAGTGGGGCGATTAACAGGGCCAGCGAAGGGGGAGGAGCAGGACCAAGTCAAGAGAGGACTACAAAGAGGAAGTTGTACATATGGTACCTATCCAAACAAGTAGTGGGCAGGGGGGCGAGAAAACAAGTGTGTAGAGGACCCTCGCCTCTCAGAAAGGGAGAGGGGATATATATCTCGTCAGGAAGTGAGAGCGAGGAAGAGAGAGCAAGTGTGAAGGGAAACAGGCAGGGTTGAAGGGGAGAGGGAGCTGGCCTCTGCTGAAAAGAAGGCCGAACAACATAAGCCTTGGGAAAAAGAAAGCGAACAAAGACAGGACATGAGCAACAGGTGCGAAGATGGGGAAGAGGGAAGGGGGAGTCTACATAAAGAACGAAGCGGTCAGGATAGTTGTGAAGGGAGATACACGGACTGTGGGAAAGGATATGGGAGGAGGACGGAGATTCCTTATCACCTGGATCCAAAGAACTTCACGGTGTAGGGCCAAACCCCGGTAGATTTTCGAGCCTTAGTCGACCCCACTGCGGGTCCCAGTTGGCTCGGCCCGCCCATGCTCATGCTCAGGGCGCGGGCCATTCGTCCCAGGGTCACCCCCACCTAGTGCTTTGAGGTGGATGGGGGTGAGCCATCCCGCGAGAGAGCTTTGACATTGGGGATGTAGCTCAACCCTCATGCCGGGTGGTAGTCTCGCTGGTCATTCGGCAACGCTGATATTTTTTGTTTTCTTGGTTGTGTTCTCAAGCAATTGCCCCTTCCAATACGCAGGCAGTCTAGGGGCTCTTTGAGAGTTTTGTTCTCTTGTGCGCAGGCTAAGCGTCATCCTTAGGCTGCGCACCATTTCCCTAAGCATTGCAATTCTACGGCATCATCGGGGCGTGGCAATGCCGTCCTCCCCCTCGCCTCTACGAACCCCTCGAGTCTCATACATCTCATCCAACCATATTGACACAGGCCCCTTAGTTCTTTCGGGGCCTTTACACGCATGCACATACAACTTCATATTTCCCTTAGCAAGTTTGCACTTCCCTCTTTCGTTTACATCCCAATGCTCAAACGCAAAGGTCACTCCCATGGATTGGCTTATGCTAAGGGTCCCATAGCCCCTTTGCCCCTTCATCCTTTTTCCTTTGCCACCCGGTTTCTCCCGGCCCTATCCCGCTCAAGGCATCTCAAACCGTTACTTACCTGCAGAGTCCCACACAATGCAAAGACCAATACAGTCCCCCATTGGGGGTCAACACATAGCCCTTCCTACATGTCTATCTTTCCATGTTCTTTAGCTGCTCTTTGTTCTCAATCAGCCCATTCTCTTCACATAGTCATGCAGTCGGGGAAATGGTTGAGTCAAACTGACCATGCTTTTACTTATACTCCTCCCAGACTCCGCTTTTCCCCCACTTTTTCAAACGTCATTTTCCTTTGCCTTCTTGGCGGCACAAGGGACCGGCTACCCTTCCCTTGCCCTCTTTCTCCACCAAGTGAGCCCCGGTTTTCCTTTGCCGTTCGTTCCCTGGCAATGTAACAAGTGAGGGATATGCCAAGTGAGGGGAAGGGAGAGAGAGGGCAAAATCAGGATGCGAGAGAGAGAAGGGTAAAGAGAGGGAAAAAAAGAGCGAGGGGGAAAGGGAAAGAGGGAGAGAGAGAGAGGGAGAGAGAAAAAAAGAGAAAGAGATAGAGAGAAGTGCGCGCTCGCGCGCGCGCGCGCGAGAGAGAGAGAGAGAGAGAGAGAGAGAGAGAGAGAGAGAGAGAGAGAGAGAGAGA